TTCCGATCTAGCTCGCCCCCCCGCCGCGCACGCTATGGGAGCCGTGACTGACGGTGAGGCCGATCGCCGCCGCGGGACCCGGGGCCCGGGTGACCGTGGGGGACTCGGCGCCGGGACGCCGCTGCCAGGGTCCGCGGCCCTCCCCGAGGGGCTCCGGCCTCCACCCGACCGGCCCGCCGCCGCCCGGCCGGCAGAGCCCGTGGAGCCACGGGACTCAGTCTGACCAGGCCCGGGCGAGGGAAGCCGGGACAGCCCTGGGGCCTCTCTGGGGGTCGCTGCGGCGCTCGGGAGGCGGGCGGGGGGGGGGGCCCCGGTCCCCGGGCCTGGGGGCGGTGCGTGGCCGCGGAGGGATTCCTAACCGGCTGGGGGTGGAGGGGCTCCCCGCAGCGGCACGCGGTAGGGAGTGGCGGAGGCCTGGGGGAGCGGGGACTCGGGCGGGGTGCTCGGAGGCTGCGGAGGCTAGGGTGATGACGGAGGGCGCTTCCCGAGCGCGGAGGGCCCACGAACCGCGGGGTGGTCGCCAGGGTCCTGGAACTCCGAGTTCAGCGGCAGACCGGGCGGTCGGGAAGTGTACCTGGGAGATTTACTAGGTAAGGAGCCCACGGGGTGAGCCGGAAGCTCAGGGCCCCCCAGTAAAAGGAATGCGTGTTGGGGAGGACGGTTTTGTCAGTGGAATGAATTGGGGGTGATGGGTGTGGACCGTTGTCATCCTTAGACGTGGACCGAGAGCAGAAATAAGGGGCCACTTTCAGGCAAGGATGGATGTAGGAGGTACCCCAGTAGGGGGAGAGGAGGTTCCAAAGCCCAGCTACATTGGGTCTGTTTGAGGGAAACGTGACCAGTAACTATAGATACCTGTAGTTTTATGTTTGATGTTTACTTCCAGGTTAGGTCTTACTTAGGTTTACAGTTTATAGCCCAGAACCAACAGGAAAAACTGTTTTCTCTTCTAAAGTTGCAGTCTGGCGTTAACTGTTAACATTTAATAATTAGGGTCTTTGGTTTGTTTGTTTTTTGGTCTTTTTGAGACAGGGTCTCCCTGTAGCCTCAGCTGGACGGGATCTCATGTATCCCCCTCACTGCCTCTCAAGTGCTGGGATCAAAGGTGTGTGCCACCATGCCCAGCTAGGGTTTTTTCTTTTAATTTTTTAAATTGCATTTACTTATTTTGTGTGTGTCCCACTGTGCCACCTTGCTCGTTTTTCAGTCAGAGGAAGGTTCTTTCCTTCCATTATGTGGGTTCTGGGGATTGAACTCAGGTTGTCAGGCTTGCTGTCAGGACCTACTGAACCCTCTGGCAGGTCCTAAATAATTGGTTTTAAGGGTGGCAAATATTACCACAGGACAGGAGCTGTAGGAATGTGTAAGTGGCTGTTTATCCATTTTTGCTGGTGATTAGAAAACCTCCTTGAAAAAAAAGTTACTTCCAGTCCTTTCTTTGAAGGAGAAATAAGTGTATTTGAACTGGAATTAGAAATGGCCAACCACCTGTGCAAGCCCAAATGCTAGACGAAATTTAAAATATTAACTATTAGCTAGAACTTAGAAAGTTATGAGCTGTGAACTTTTAAAAGGTCAGGGAGGGCTGGGCATGGTGGCGCAGGCCTTTAATCCCAGCACTTGGGAGGCAGAGGCAGGAGGATCTCTGTGAGTTCAAGGTCAACCTGGTCTACATAGTGAGTTCCAGGACAGCTGGGGCTACAGGGAGACCCTGTCTCAAAAAGACCAAAGAAAAAAAGTCAGGGGAAGCCACTGAAACTTGGGAACTTTGCCATGATGTGATCAGATTAGCTTTTAAAAAAAAAAAAATGTATTTGCCATATTGAGGACAGAAGCCTTGGTCCCATTCATTAGGTAAGTGTTTTACATCCTCATCCTGAGCTACAGCCTCAGCCCTAGATTAGCACTTAAAACACACACACTCTGTTTTGTGAACAATGTTGAGGAAAAGGGCAAGTGAGGTGCTAAATTCACTCTCCTTTTTACTAACATTTATATAGTTCTAGCCATGTGTCAGGCAGTGCTCTAATTATCCAGAGGTTAATTTGCCCAGAATTGCAGAGGTGATACTTGTAGAGCATGGGCCTAAAACCAAGCCAGCAGATTCCACAGTCTCTTCTTCACTAATATGGTCTTGTCTCAGCTCCTGCTGCAGTGGTGCTGAATGGAAGGTCATGGGGCCTCTGATCAACATGGAACTCCAGTGAAGCTTCAGACAGAGGTCATGTAGAATATCAGGATTGCCCAGGTGTGGTGGCACACGCCTTTAATCCCAGCACTGGGGAGGCAGAGGCAGGTGGACCTCTGTGAGTTCAAGGCCAGCCTGGTCTACATAGTGAGTTCCAGGACAGCTGGGGCTACAGGGAGACACCCTGTGTCAAAAAGACCAAAAAAAAGAAAGTATCCGGATTGCTCATGGGGGACTTGGGAATCAAAGCTGATCCTAGGTTTCTGACTTAAGTGATTGTGTGCCTTGTTGGGCAACTTCCCTGTTGACTGAAATAGAAAACTCAAAGGAGTGAGTGATTTTTGTCAGGTGGGGGAACAGGAGGAACAGGAATGGTGAATTATAAACAGGTCAACTTCAGTCAGTGCCCCCGTCTACTCATGAACTCCGCCGTTGAGCTACCTCACCAGTCAGTACTGTCATTTTTGAAAAAGTGGAGAAGTCCTGGGGAGTTAGTGACTTAGTCACTCAGCTGGTTCCTGCAAAACTAACCTGGGTTTTAGCTAACTGCAAAGTAGTTAACAATGTTGTCACTGTTAATTTAAACTGTTCTAACAGTTTGTATTGTATAGGTGACCATTTAAAGAGTGTTCAGCTGTGTACAGAGAACATTAAGTAGCTATGTTGATAGCTAGGGCAGCAGATGAGGGTGAGAAAGCAGATGAGGTGAGGTGAGATGAGCTCTGCATTCCATTTAACAGTCTTTTGGTTTTGACAACTTTTTTTCTTAATTAGAAAAGTGTAATGTGTATGATAATAAATTGTAATGTAATAGTGTATGCTTATGAAAATTTAGAATAATGATTTTAATATGCCCATAAACAATATGGCAAAATAATGGAACTGTATAATAATGTAATTGTATATATTTTCTCATGAGTGCAAAGATGACACCAGTCATCTGGAAATGAAAGAAATTGAAGATAATAACAGACTTTATGGGGTCATTTCAAGGATAAAACTCAATAGTATATGTAAGCACTTTGAACTTGAATGGCCATTTGCTTTATTAGCCAAGCTGGGACACTTGTCAGAGTGGCTGCATGTTCACCAGTAGGAGTGGAAAGCACTGTGTCTGCTGTTGCTTCAGTGGCTCAGTGTTAATTATTCACTTTTCCCACTAGTACCAGTGGGTTCACCCAATTTGTTCCATTGTCTGTAGACTAGAAAGGGGCTAATGAATGCAGTTCAACTATTAAATAATGTTTCTTAGCTAAGAGAGCTTTTCAAAGCAAAATTGAAGTTTTTATCCTTAAATTGTATAATTGTGTAAGTATTTAGGCAAATGGAAAAACAAAAGGTCTCAGCACTGTTTTGCACGTGCGCCTTTTAAAATTTTAATTTTGATTAATGTTTTTGAGACAACCTTAAACAGTCCTCCTACCATAGTTTCCTGAGTGCTGGGATTATAACCCTGAACTTGAGCCACCACACCTGACTTAAAAGTTTTTAACTTAATTTTGGTTTTAGCATTAACAGTTTGTTTAAGCCAGACCTAATTATCTCAGGAGAGAGCAACATTTATGTGGAGGAATCAAACCGTGTTTATTCTTTCTGTCCACCTTTTATGTATATTCTGTATATACTGTTTACCTTAAAAATTATCCTAATGATTTTAAACTTCATGAAGGGTGGAGTTTTGACGTGAGGAATCTAACAAATGGGCTGTATGTAATTCATCTTAATAACTCATGAGCGATGGTAATCTAATAGGAATTTGCACATTATTTTTACATGTCCTTAGTTTCTCCTCAAGTTATTATCAATAAAATAGTTTTAAGCTTTTTGTTAGTTTTTTTGTTGTTGTTGTTTTTTTAACAGAATGGGCTCCAAGGCCTGCCAAAATTAATAGAAGCAATCACATGGCTTACAGAAGGCTTCAAGCATGATAGCTTATAAATTCACTGTATCTAGTAAGCAAAACATGCTTTAGGTGTCTTCGGTAAGGAACAAGGTGAGAAGGTGTTACTAAGAATAAAAATGCTCTTCGAGTGTATGTTAGGAACTCTAAACTGAAAGGGAATGGAAGCAGCCCCAGCCTAGGAGCAGGCATGTCTTTCTGTTTCTTCAGTGAGCGCTCTCACTATCCCCGTCACTGCAGTAATTCTCACCCGCAGTTTCTTGGCAGTAACTGTCTAGGCAGTTTTTAAGAAAGAAATGCTGTGACCTTGCTCTAAGTCTGAGACAAGCAGTCTTAACTGGGCACAGTTTTGACTGTCTAATATGTATCTACATAGGGATATAGCTGTATCTATGAATCTTCATTCTCCAACATTTTTGGTGGTTGAAAGTTGTGGGTTAAGTTTAGCGTGAAGAAAAGAATACATCTGTCCCATGGATAGGCATTGTATTCTTTCACTTATGTTTCCATTGCATTTCTCAACAGTTCTGCAAACTATATAGTTTTATCCCATTTTACTACTGGGATAGATGTTGACCTCCTGTGCTCACACACAGAGCAAGCACTGGGTGCATGTGCTAGCCAAACCTTTGTCACCAAGATTTCTGGAGTTTGCTGTGGAAGGGTGTGCTTAGATTAAGAGGGATGGGGCTCTTAATACAAGTAGGATCAGAGACAGCCTGGGCAGGGAGGCTGTGAACCCTTGAACTGGCTTTGCCACTTTCCTGCTTGCTGCCTGCCCTTTCCTATTTGAGTGTCTGCTCTGGGAGCCTGCCTTCCAGAACTTGGATTCTACTCTGCTTGTATGTTAAGCTGTGTAGTTCTAACCACATGTGGCTTGCCAGCCTCCTAACCAGCCTTCTAGCCTATTGGCTTTCCCCAGTTGCAGTCTATGTTGTACTAGCTCCCACCAGAAAGTTCTGCCCACGAATCTTTAACAGCCCAGTTAAATACTTGGTTAACAGCTTAGTTAATGCCAGCAGTAGGGCATTTCTTGTTTGAACTCCCACAGCATGACCCCTAAATTAGCTTTTGTCTCCTTATCTTCCCTCATGCGTCTTCCTAGGGGTCTGGTGTGCCCATTCTAGAGCTCACAGTGTTCTAGTGTGGGGTGAAATGGAAAGGCTACAGCATGCTTTCTTTTTTTAAATAGCAACACCTAGCAGGTTTGAGTAGTCTTCCTGTTTAAAAAATCAAACGTACCTTGTTCTTCCAGCCTGTCCCCCTCTTGGTGACCCCCTTAGTGTTGTATATCATTCCAGTGTATCTATGCACACAGAAGCGCATGCAAATACATATTTTTATTCCTCCCACTTTTACTGACTACAAGCATGCCATACATACTATTCTTTGCTTTGTGTCATAAATACTCTGTATCATAAAGTGTTTCCTCATTTTTTACAGCTTAGTAATACTCCTTCATGTTCTTGTATCAAAATTCATTTATTTACCCATTGATGGACATTTGGGTTGTTTCCATATTGTGTTGTTTAAACACAACTATATCTGACACACTTCTGAGTCAGGCCTGTTTTCAAAATTTTTATAAATATTGGTAAAGTACCCAATTTTCAAGTAATAATTTGTCAGAATCAAAGCCACTCAAATTCTACCTCCCCTGATTGCCCCCAAGCCAAGGGGAGTTTTCCTCTTTATCTGTAGTCTGTGCTCATGTGTGTGCTCATGGTGTTATTTCTCCATAATTGTGAATTTAGAAGGTACTCTTACACCTTGTGCCCAGGTATACACATTTTCCGTACATGTGATCACTGCTATAGCAATTAAAATAAGAGAGCTGCTTGTTAGTCCTTGTTGATGTTTAATTAAGACAAAGCTCTTGGGGCTAGAGAGATGGGTCAGTGGTTTAGAGCACTGACTGCTCTTGCAGAGGACCTGGGTTCGATTACCAGCACCCACATGGCAGCTGTGAACCATCCTTAATTCCAGTTCCCGGGGAATCCGAGGCCCTCTTCTGACCTCCGTGGCATTGCACAACAGGGGTGCACTCACTTACATGCAGGCAATACACTCATATACATAAAATAAAAATAAAATATTTTTTAAAAAGACAAAGCTCCTTAGAAGGACTCTGCGGGCATTACAAATCCAGTTTAAAAATGTTGAAGTCAGGTATAATGTCTCATACCTATAATAAATAGCACCTGGAAGTCTGAGGCAGGAGGATTGCTATGAGTTTCAACAACATATTTCTAGGCAAGCCTTGGCTACCAAATGGGGTCATGTCTTAAAAATAAAGTACCTGAGTAAGGCCCAGTATGAGATGCTGAGGGAGCAGCAGGGTGAATGAGGTTAAGATGCAGTGTGGGTCCTCAGAAGCCTCTCTCCCAGTGGAGAAGGAAAACAAGGCAGGCTGTTGATTTTTTGTTTGGCCTGAAAATATTTCCCCAAAACTTGATAGATTAGAGTAGCACACTCATATGTAAAAATGAACAGACCCTGCCAGGTATGATGGCACACGCCTTTAATCCCAGCACTTGGGAGGCAGAGGCAGGCGGATCTCTGTGAGTTCAAGGCCAGCCTGGTCTACATACTGAGTTCCAGGACAGCTGGGGCTACAAGGAGACCCTGTCTCAAAAAGACAAAAAAAAACAAAAAACAAAAAAAAAACAGATCCTAAAGGATGTGGCTGGAATGATCTCAGAATATTTTAAATATTTTCAGTTAGTTGCCAAACTTTTAAAAACTGGATCTTGGTGGTAACTCCTCCCTCAGTCACTCACCCCTGATTTCTTCTGATCTTACCTACCTGTTTCCTACTGCATTTACATGTGGAATCCCAAGTTCTCAATAAAGTAGAAAGCCCAGGCATCTGGGAAGAGAGGTAAGGTTTGGGGAGACTTGGGGACAGAAGTTAAAAGAGCAGAATATTTATTCAGCAGCATCAGTGCTGCCAGATCATTGGACCAAGGGATGTCTTTTGCCCTATTTGCCTTTAGTCCCAGCACTTGGAGGCAGAGACAGGTGGATCTGTGAGTCCTAATGAGTTCCAGGCCAGCCAGAGCTACACAAGTGAGACCTTGTCTCAAAAAAATAAGTAAAAAATTAAGAGTCAAATATTTGTAGTAAAAACATGTTCATATTTTGCATTTTAATTTTTTTAAGAACTATTCAGATAACATCATTGATGGCTAAAATTTGAAAATGTTCGTTTGCAGTTTTCAAACATGAAGTCATAGGATCTGGCAAATCTGTACTAAAGCAGCCGTTCAAAGCCATAACTGACAGCCTAACCCCATTCTAAAAATGTCTGATACTGTCAAACACTGGGTCCATCTGCCTGCCAAAGTTATCTCCACTGCACCTGTGCTTAAAAACACTTCTGCCTATGCAGAGGAACTATTGTTTAAAAAGTTTAGGTGTTGATTCATCATGCAGGCGCTTCAGGAATTATTTAGACTGTAAATTTTGTTTAAAACATAGTTCATTTAATTATAAAGAAAATGAAAGCCCATGAATAAAGCAAGTAAAATTTTAAAGCAGCACGTGAGAGAACTTTTTCCTCTGTGTCTGTTGTTCCCTCTTCAGAAAGTCACTACTAGTACCGGTTTCTTGGCAATCCTTCCAGAAATATTTTCTGAGTACACACATACTGCCTCCTCTTCTGAATGCCAGTAGCATGCTTCATATATGCTTCTCTGGAGTTACTTTCTTTTCTTATCCAAGGAGATTTTTTTTTGGCAGCAGCATGTATACCTGCATTATTTTAACTGCCTACGTCTACATCATATGAAGCTTTCATGATTAACAAGCCTTAATGTTTAGGTTTGCAAATTTTGTACTACAAATAACACTGCTACAGACATCTCTCTACATCTGCTTGTGCGTGGGTACATGCCTGTCTACAGGATGTATTCCTGCACATGCAGGTGGCTTGTACCTGGAATTCCAGCTGTGCTGCATAGTGAGTTCCAGGCCTCCCTGGGCTATGTAGCAGTTGCATAGAGAAACACAATCTCAAAAAAGAAAATCCTAGGGTTGGAATTGCGGCATCAAAAACGTGTGTGTCTTTTTAATTTCTTTTTAAATCAGGGTTTATCTGATGGATGGAACTTGATGTTTTGCTTATTTTTTCAATTTCCACTTGCCTTTGTAGTTATGGCCCAAAGTTAAGAACAAGGCCTAGTTGAGGCCTGCCAGACAGGCAGGCTGGGACTCCATTTGTTCTGGTTGTCATCAACACTGCTTTTGTGTTCCTTTTTCTCCTTTGTTTCGGGGCAAACGGGATCCCTACAGATGTGGTGGCTCATGCCTATAATCCTATCACTTGGAAAGCCAAGGGTATGTAGTGAATTCTGGGCGAGCCTGGGCTAGAATGAGTCCCTTTCTCAAACAAAAAAAGCGAGACTGTTGTTTAAGAACATTTAATGATGTAGCAACTAAATTGGATTACTTTACAAACCCATTCTTTTCTCTGACCTGTTAAATTCTTTTTCCAATATGATACTATGTACTTGAATGTGCATTTCTCTTTCCTAGTGGCTCTCACTGGCTAAAACATGAATAGTCCTACCTTCATCTGGTTTGGAAAGGTTTTTTTCCAAAATGGATTTTCTAACAATTATTGACAGTTTTTTGTTGCATTTGGAAATTATTTCCTCTCAATAGTCAAATAGATGCCGACTCTGAGGGCAGGACTCTTCACCTATGATTCAGTACCTAGAGCAAGGGCAGATATACCATAGACAATCACTTCCTTAAAACAGTTCAAATTTTTTAGTGTGGCAAAATGCAAATAAAATTTATCATTTTTACCTTACTGTTTTTAAGAGTGCAGTTCAGCAGCATTAAGTACATTTATATTTCAATAATTTTCTTTTGAATGAATGAATGGGTGGTGATATGGTTTGTCCTTGAAAGTGACCCAGAACCAGGTGGTCATCTTCTCTCACCTGCCCTTCTTCTTTCTAGACGAAGTCATCCGAAAGCGTCTCCTGATTGATGGAGATGGTGCTGGAGATGATCGAAGAATTAATCTGCTAGTGAAAAGTTTCATTAAATGGTGCAACTCTGGATCACAAGAAGAGGGGTACTTTATTTCACTGTTGTTTCTATACCAGTGTCCTGGTGTGATTTTTATTAGGACCCTCTTACGTATTTCAGATTTCATTTATCTTACATGTCTGGTACAACCACTTCTTGGTTAATCGAAAGTAGATTTTTTTTTTTTTTTATGGCCTTCTCTTTGGAGTTCTCCCTTATGTTTATAAAGAAATATATAATAGTAGTAAGAAAGAAAAGGGAGGGAAGGAGGGAGGGAGGGAGCAAGGGAGGAAGGGAGGGAGGAGGGACTATTAAGTTCAGGACCACTAATTTGATCACTTTTAGTAAATCTGTATTCGTTGAAACACAATGTCTAGAAGAAAGTTTTTCTTTTGTTAATGTGTTGATGTATATAAGCTGCAGCAAAAATGTATGCACATTGATAATTTCTCAGCATAGGAAACTTTTTCATTTGGATTTTCTTTCCACATAAATGGTGTACCATATAGAGTGAAAAACTTGAGAAGAGAATTCTGAAGATTACCCTCAAAGTATTTTAAAGGTGATTTAAACAATTCAGACATCATTTACATTAACCCTATATTGATGAGAGCAACAGTTTCATCTCTCATCTGTGACTACTGTAGTTTGTAAATTCAGGCATACTACATCCAGAATAAAGAATGATAAGGAACGGGTATTCTGTGCTATTCAAATAACAGTTTTATCAGAAGTTGGTTTAATTTAGTTAGCAAACGTTTACCTAAATTAGTTTAACATTAGCAATCTGTAGCATCTTTGTTCTCCTTCTCATTTTTTGTTAGATACAGCCAGTACCAGCGCATGCTGAGCACACTGTCTCAGTGTGAATTTTCAATGGGCAAAACTTTGCTAGTATATGATATGAATCTGCGAGAAATGGAAAATTATGAAAAAATTTACAAAGAAATAGGTAAGCTTACTGTTGCTGTATATAATTGTACTTTTGTAGTTAAAAAGAAAAAATATAGTATTTTGTTTGTAATGAAAGGATATTAGCAATTACAGTGTTAGCTACAACAGTGTGTACAGTCTGATATGATATAGCTTTTTGGGTTATAGTAATATTTTAAGATGTGAATGTCTATTTTGTTAGTAGTGGAAGCTCAATTTAGAGGCACGTTCGAAAACTGAAAGTGAGTAGAGATTATCCATGTTACTGCAACTTTCTTTTAAAAACTTTCTTTGTATAGAATGCAGCATTGCAGGAGCACATGAAAAAATTGCCGAGTGCAAAAAGCAAATACTTCAAGCAAAACGAATACGGAAAAATCGCCAAGGTAAGGGTTTTGAGGGATTTGGTGTGCAGATATTTTAATTACTGATTACTATTTTCATGGTACAGTCTGTAACGTCATCAATTAAAAAATAATTAGGAACTGTATTTGATTTGATTTTCTTTTCTTTAAGATAGGGTCTTACTATGTATCCCTGGCTGGGCTGGACTCTCTAAGTAGACCAGGTTGGCCTTGACCTAATAGAGATCTGCCTGCCTCTGCCTCCTGTGCTATGATTAAAGGCATGTGCCACCACACTGCCTGTATTTGATTCTTAAAACTATTTTCTAGAAGGCAAACTATGCTGAAAAAGATTTCTTTTTTCCTGAAAGTATTTTGTAATATTTTTTGCTATCTTCAGATCCTTTTTTCTAAGTAATATTACAGTTAATCAACAAAAGGAGCTATGTAAGTGTACCAGATTTGGGTGTTTATTCATTAGTGTCATGGCCCTACTTTCAAAAAAAGAGAAAGAAAAAGAATTTAAACCCAGGAAGGTTCTATTCCGCATAAAGCAAGCAAACATCTATGAGGGTATCTAATAGACAGGTTGAAGTTTAGGGGCCAGCTTGGCAGGTAAAGACTCTTGCCACCAAGCATGACTACCTGAGTTTGATCCCCAAGTCCCACATGGTAGAAGGAGAGGAATGACACCCATGCTATGGCATACTGTGCCCACACATACACAGAAGTAAAATAACTGTTGTTGGGTTTGGGTTTGGGGGTTTTTTGTTTCGTTTTGTTTTGAGACAAGGTCTCCCTGTAGCCCCAACTGTCCTGGAACTCGCTATGTAGACTAGGCTGGCCTCAAACTCACAGAGATCTGCCTGCTTCTGCCTCATGAGCACTGGGATTAAAGGCATGCACCACCATACCCAGCAAGATAAATGTTTTTAAACATTATTTTTTATTTTTATTTTATTTGTATAAGTGTTTTGCCCACATGTATGTAAATGCACCACATATGTATAGTGCCTGTAGAGGCTGGAAGAGGAGTTATAAACTGGAGTTATGGGCAGTGTTAGCTGCCATGTGGGTGTGAAGAGCCAAACCTAGATCCTCCACAAGAACAGCCAGTGCTCTTAACCACTGAGCCATCTCTCCAGCACCTTTTTTAATTCTTTTAATTTTTAATGTTATGTGTATGAGTGTTTTGCCTGCATGAATGTAAGTGCATCCAAGTTACAATGCCACTGAGGCCATAAGAGAGCATCAGATCCCCTGGAACTGGAGTCATATGGGTGTTGGGAACCGAACCTGGGTCCTCTGCAAGAGCAGCCCATGCGCTTAACTGCTGAGGCATCTCTCTGGCCCTATTTTTATTTTTCAAATTTTATTTTATATGTATGAGTGTTTTGCATGCATGTATGTAAGTGCACCCATGCATGCAGTGCCTGCAGAGGCCAGAAAAGGGTGTAATATCTTCTAGAACTGGAGTTACAGATGGCTGTTAGCCTCAGTGTGGGTCTTGAGTGTGGGTATGTGCACTTGAGTGCGGGCACCTGAGGAGTCCAGAAAGGGGCATCAGATCCCCTGGAACTGAAGTTACAGGCAGTTATAAGCTGCCCAATAAGGGTGGCAGGAACAGAACTCATGTCCTCTATAAGAGCAGCATGCGCTCTTAACCACTCAGCCTTCTTTCCAGCCACAAACATTATTTTTTTAATAACAGAAGCATTGTTCCTCCTATTATATAAATTGGCAAAAGTAAACATAAAGAACAGTGTTTAAGCCATGTGTAATGGTGCATGCTTGAAATCCCAGTGCTTGGTTAAGGCAGGGTCACACATTCTAAGCCAGCCAGCCTGTAGTAAGAACCAAACAAGTAAATGAATCAATGAAGACATAACTGTAGCTGTGACAATATTATGAAAACCCAAAAGGAAATAGAAAGTGTTATTGGTTGTTTGATGGTTGTGCATTTTTATGGTTTAAATTCGTCACTTTGATTTTTTTTATACTGAACATATTTTATAACACAGAAGGATTATTTAAAATAAAATTACTCTTACTGAATTAATGTGCTGAGTTCCAAAACAATGAATTTCATGTTTTAGGGAGCTAACTAACATGTTTTGTTTCTTCTTTTTTTTTAATATTTATTATTTTTGTTTTATGTGTATGAGTGTATTGCCTGCATGTATGTGAGAGCACCAGTGTCATGCAATGCCATGGAGGTCAGAAGAGGGCTTCAGATTCCCCTGGAACTGGAGTTAAGGATGGTTCATAGCTGCCATGTAGGTGCTGGGAATCGAACTCGGGTCCTCTGCAAGAGCAGCCAGTGCTCTTAACCACTGAGCCATCTCTCCAGCCCCAAGGCTAGAAGCTTTTAAGTGACGTTATTTCATAAGTGAGGTTAGCAGGAGTTGCATGACTTAATGTGGAAATTTCAGTGGAGCAGAAATAATGACTTGGATTTTAAATTGTTTCAGTTTGAAATTTTTAACTTTAGAATGACTGAGAAGTGTTACTGACTAAAAGGATGAATTTTTTTCACTGTGGTTTTTGTTTTTTGTTTGTTTGTTTTTATAGGGGCATGACAAACAGTTAATAAGATCCTTTGTAGAATCAGTACACTTGATGGTACCAAGTTCATTTATACCTCTGGGAGCCTCTTATATTCTGTCATGTAGTGGGAAAATGAATGAGAGCTAAAAATCCCTATTTGGAATGCTTTGGAAGTCACGTGTAATTATATTGTGTTGGACTAAGGGATTGTCGGCACGCTCCATTATTGTGCCAGGAAAATGAGTAGGACGTCAGTTTTCATATTACACATTTTGTTTTGATGACCCAGGCTGAAAAAAGTCTTAATTTGACCAATAGTTTCATGTCTTTCAGAATATGACGCTCTGGCAAAAGTGATCCAGCATCATCCAGACAGGCATGAAACACTAAAGTAAGCTAAAGCTCTGTGGGGAGCCAACCCTTATACACGAGTATGGATAGTGTTCCCTGTGGTTCATTTTCATAGACACGTAGAGCATGTGTCCGAAGGAAGGGTCAGATTTCAGTATTTTATTTTCTAATGCTGCTGTTTAGATCCTTTTCTTTCTTCAGCCTTCCCACCCATAAGCCCAGAATAAATGCATGTAATGTGCCTCAGCGAGAAAGTGGATGTGTGTAATTTATTCTCTTAGTATAATAGAATACTAAAATATTAACCAAAAAGAATGTGCTAAATACACATTTTTAAAATATCCCAAAATGTAAATGGTAAGTCTCTCCCAAATGTCGTAAACTAATACTGTATGTGCATCAGAAATCCAAATACATGCATCTGAAAGGGGCTGGAAGGACACACAAGGAGAAGAACAGCTGAGGGAAAGAGGCTCAGGGTCAGGCTCAGAGAGTATTTCCAGTTAACTGGCAGGTTTTAATTTTTTTAACATTGTATTTATGTCTATTTATTTTGTATGTGTATGAGTGTTTTGCCTGTGTGTATGTAAGTGCGCCCATGTTGTACAATGCCCACAGAGGCCAGAAGAAGGTGTCAGACCACCTGGAACCAGTGTTATAGATGGGTGTTAGCCACCCTTTGGATGCTGGGAATTGAACCTGGATCCTCTGGAAGAAGAGCGAGTGTTCTTAACTGTTGAGCCATCTCTCCATCCCCAGGTTTTATTTCGTGCACTAAAAGAATAACTTGAAGTTAGTAAGACAAAATGTATCAGTTCATTAGTTTTATGCTATTAACTGTATTTTCTTGTTATTTTAAACTTTGTATCTAAGTGTAGTTGTAATGAAAATAGTGCAATGTAGGAGATAAGAAACCATCTTGTTTTTAAAGCCTCACCATGGAGAATATTAAACTCATAGCCTTCTCTTATTTTTAAAATATTGTTTTATAATCAAGATCTCATATATATAAATTCCCTTCCCATAAGTAGAAAACTATAACATTGTTTTATGTTTTTTCCCCCCACAGGGAGCTAGAGGCTCTGGGAAAAGAATTAGAGCATCTTTCACATATTAAAGAAAGTGTTGAAGATAAGGTATTTGCATATATATATATATATGTTAGCGTGTGTGTGTGTGTGTGTATGTGTGTGTGTTTATAGACCAACTTACATAATTTTTTTCCTTGCTAACACAGCTGGAATTGAGACGGAAACAATTTCATGTTCTTCTTAGTACCATCCATGAGCTTCAACAAACATTGGAAAGTAAGTAGAAATCATTTTAAAATTAATGCTGGTGAAGATTTTAAGTGATTAAGGTATGTGTCTTTTGTAGTAAATGCCTTGGAGTCTGCCTCCAGAACCAAATAGCTGGGTGGCATTAGAAGTCACTCATGTGTCCAACTTTCCAAATATGTGAAGAGTTTTGTGGTAATCTGTGATTACTTATCTAGTAATGGGAAAACTTAAGGATGATGGGACTTGATTCCTGGTTTTCTCTTTTGTAAGGCAGTGATTCAAGACACAGGCAAGCAATGCTAAGTCACACTGCACTAGGACATTGATACCTAGTGACTGCAGGGGCTTGGAGAGGTTGAAGACTTGCTCTTTCTTTTGACTGTAGCCAACTGGAAACTTCTGTGGACCCTGGTCTCCGATTGTTTTTACAAAGTCAGGCTAAGACCTAGATTTGGTTGTTTTTTTGTTTTTTTTCTGCATTTTCGAGACAGGATCTCACCATGTATCCCTGGCTGGCCTAGAACTCAATATGTAGACCAGTCCAGCCTCACACTCACAAGAGATTTGTCTGCCTCTACCTCCCAAGTTCTGTGATGAAAGGCATGCCTGGCCCATTGTTGTTGTTGTTGTTGTTTTAAATGAAATCTATCATACAAACTTTAAATTTTGATAAGCAAGAATAACCAAATCAGTATTTAAATATTTTTTAGCATATGTGGGAGTTGGGGGTATGTACGCATACCATATGGCATGGGTATGGAAGTCAGGATAAGTTCCAGAAGTCAGTTCTCTTATTCCACCATGTGGGTCCCAGGGGGGTGTGCCTTTACCTGCTGAGCCATCTCATTGGCTCCAAATGAGCATTTTTAAAACCCAAACATTTATGTGGGCCATTTGTAGTCATAACTTGCCATTTTGCTTTAAATGTATTTCCTAATAAGAGATTAAATGTTTTCATATATGCACTAGATGTAAAATTTGGGCAAAATTGACTAAGGTTTTGTTTCTTCTCACTACAGATGATGAAAAGCTGTCAGAGGTAGAAGATGCTCAAGAAACCATCATGGAAGCAGATCCAAAGCCATAGATGGCAAATAGCTGGCCATTCCCAAGAGTGTTGATGCTACATAATCTGAGTGTGTTGAGAATCTTTTGTGCTCTTGGGGTATTTCAAGTTGGACTGGGAAGTACTTTGCTTTTGAATATTAATGCATGTCTCGTTCATATTTCTTCACCAAAGGAAATAAGTTCAGTATGTATTGGAATGCGTTTTTTATTATTAAAGGTAGCATTCAACATCTAAAACTGTTTAATAAAATGTCTCAAGCCAGATGTTTGTGTTCATTCCAACTCCAGGTAGCTTTGAACTGGCAGCAAGGTTTACCTTGTAACACACATTGAAGATTGTAAGATGGCATTTCTAGGATGCACATGAGAAAATGAATCTATTTCTGGAGTCATTAACACTTTTGAAAATGAAGTTCATGAATAGGCTTCGGGGGGGAGTGAATTTGTGCATAATATTTATGGTGTGTTTATTGCAGAGAAAGTTTCCAGATTGCTTTACACATTGCTGATTATGAGACCAGTCCATCCTCATTGCCTTCCCAGATCTCTCCTTTAGTACTTGAGAAATGTGATTATTAAATGTTTCCTTACAGCTTTTCTCTCTGCTTCTTTGTTCTTCAGGAGTCATTTTTAAATATTTATTTATTTTTGTGTGTCTAATGTGTGTACACCTGTTTGTGCATTGAAGGTATGCTCATGGAAGAGATCAGAGGACAAGCCTGGCTGGTGGTCCCTGTCCTCTGCTCTCCTTGAGGCCGGGTCTCTGTGTGGTGGGGCAGTGTACTACTGGCTTGCTGGTGCTCAAGCTTCTGGGGACCCTCCTGATTCCATTTCCCATCTCACCTTAGAAATGGAGGGATGGATAACAGGCACACACCATCATTTCAGGCTTTTACGTGAGTTTGGGGGATATGAACTCAGGTCATCAGGCCTGCACATCAAGTGCTTTTACCTGCTGAGCTGTCTCCTGGCCCAGGAGTCAATTTTAGTAGAAAAAGACATTAATAAAATGAAGAGCTATGTGAGTGTCATGGTTGGCATTGGTTGTTGACTTGACTCACCTGGGAAAAGGAACCATCAGTTGGGATTTCTTCTGTAGGACCGGCCTGTGGGCCATTTTCTTGATTGTTGAGTGATATGGGAGGGCCCAGCCCATTGTGGACAGTGCCACCCTGGACAGGTGGTCTTGGGTTGTATAATAAAGCAAACTGAGCACAGGCCAGAGGAGCAAGCCAGTAAGCAGCATTCCTCCATAGTCTGTTCTTCAATTCCTACTTCTAGGTTCCTGCCCTGAATTCCTGCCTGACTTCCCTCAAAGATGGACTGTCACTTAGAATTGTAAGATGCAATGAACCCATTCTTCCCCAAGCTGGTTTTGGTCAGTGTTTTTATCACAGCAAATAGTTCATTTTCTATTGCTAGTAAGAATTATGAAGCAAAAGATTTGCAATTATAAATTCAGAATCAAAAATCAGTTTAAAGGGCTACTGGGCAGAATACACCTGCCTCCCCGAGTTGATCCATTCACTACAGAGATTTTTCAGAACTGTTTGCCAAGAGAGGAGAATTCCTACAGGATAACATCTGCGGTCAGAAGCAGGCTCAGCAGCAGCAGCAGGCACATGGGGAGCACACGCTCTTCAGCCTGTACTTCCGCATGGTCCTCTTGGATAGCCTCTGGAACTGCTTGGAAGACTGAAGAATTTCATCTCCTAGAAACTGGCACTGCTGAAGCTCAGCATGCCTTTGGGCCAGTAGCTTCCTGGACTTCTCCATCACTGTTTCTATGAGGTCATCTACCTGTGACAGACAAAGAAATGTTAGACCCTGTGCCACAAAGGTCAGAAGCGAAGAGGTAGTTGCTTTTCCTGAGAGGTGAATCCAGGAGTTTGGCCATTTGTGGGACCTAAAGTATTACTCTTAATTCAAACTATGGCAAACAGACTTGAAAACCTATGTTAAAACCACCCAGTGGTGAAGATGATCACATTTCTTCTCAAAAGAAGCCCTTGTGTATGCCTTCATTTTAATGGAATTCTTTGGTATTTCTGAGGCGCACAGTACCATCCTATGTGCCCTTCTCAGACCCTTAGCCATGCAAAATGCCCCCCCACTGACATTTTAATGATAACTGTTAACTATGTCTCTACTCAATCTGTCGAACAGGACAAGATGTTCGGTTAAGCCTAATCCTCTGATACGTCTGAGACAGAAGAAGGAAATTCTTTACCCACTACCTGCATTTGAAGCTTTCCCACTGTCGAGTCTGATTTTCCAAGGATGCCTTCCATGCTGTGTTTCTTCTTTTTCAGTGCTAGAAAATGTGGTCTCTTTTTTGATGAATGTGGTACCTGTTGTAAAAATGCAAAAACACCACATTAGAAAAATAAGAATGTTAATTCTGTGACAGCACTTAAACAAGAATCCTCACCCTTCGGACAGTCTCTCACAAAGTAAGCGCTCGCCACATAGTGACACAGAGCTGAAGTCTGTAATCATATTATTCTCCACGCCCCAAGCATCTCCTTTGTGCCCAGAGCTCTGTTTGAAGAGGTCTGTAGGGTGCAGGGAAATGAGATTGTTGGGCTCTGAAAGAATATACCTTGTCAGGGAAAAAGCAGGTCATTCGCAAAGGGAAGAAGAAATTGCTCGGTGGCTGCTGAGCACAGTGAGAGGGGCCTGTTGTGAACCGGTGCCCCAAAAAGTGCGTTGCCACTGGAAAAGTTGCTAATTTGCTCTCATTTCAGCAGGTTTCCTTATTTTCATGGCAGTCATGTCTCAGACGTAAAAAAGAAGCGCTTGTTCTCTTTGCCCCATGCCTGACATGTTTCCCTTTGTCCCTGGCTTCCTGGTTCTAAGAACCGGTCCTGTGAGTGTTGCTATGGAGGATGATCCTAGGCCATGACCTCTGAAACTTTCTGGGTTCAATAATTAGCATAAGAACTGTTAGGAAACCTACACACAGAGTAGGATGTCGGACAACATTTGGATCCTGCCCTTTGACTGAAAAGATGTCTACAGTCTGGACCAGCACTGGCTGCCCTGCCAGCTTGCCCTTCCTGAAAGGCTACTTACAGAACTTTTCCTGGTCCATCTAAAGACCCCAATTTGGGACTTTTGTTTTTGCTTTGAGACAAGATCTTGATGTATAGCCCAGGCTAGCCTGGCACTCTCCACGTGCTGCAGTCTGGCCTTAAACTTCAGACCCTCTTGCCTTGGTCTCATGAATGGCAGGATTACAAGGATACACCACTACACCCAATTAAGACTACTTTTCATACTGAGCTGTTTTTTTCTACTAAGCATCTACCATTACCACCGTTGGTGGTTATGAGGCTGTTTCTGTGCTTTTTCACTATGACTCTTAGCAACTAAGTTAGTGCCTGGTGGGGGAGTGATCCAGAGAGAACAGGTCTTCTGCAAGGGCACTACTCTGCCACCTCTGCTGGTTTCCCTGAGGCACTGTGAGCACTGTGCTTCTAAATCTATCAAAAGAAAGTTGGAAACCTGGAGTTTTTTTTTTAATGTCTTACTTTTAATATGTGAACAAATAATTCATATGTAATTGTGAGGGCTAGCCAAAACTATTACCAGTTGACAACCTCTGATTTAATGTCTTTTGGTACACAGAAATCCTTAATTATGGCCAAATTTATCCATCTTATGGCCAGTGCTATATGTATACTGAGAAGTCTCCCTGTCCTGAAATCATGAAGTTATTCTTACTGTCCTCCAACTCTTTCCCACTTAGATCTACGGCTCAACAGGAATTAGTTTTGTATATGATGTGAGAATAGGGGATGACCTTTCACTTTTCCCCACTTGAATGTCCACTTACCAATGCCAGTTATTCAAGATTATTCTTATGCCACCACTCTGGTAGCATGGTCTAATAAATTTCTCCTCAGCATGATTGCAATTTCCATAAAAGCAGAACCACGTACAGCAGATCGTCCTTGCAGTTCCTAAACCTCAGAACTGCACAGGACATAGCAGAGGTACACTGAATATCTACCTAGCAAACCAGAAGCAAAATTCAAAACTCAGCATGCTGCACAGTGATGTGGGAGAGTGCTGTGTGGTGGGACTTTCTGCAAGGATGGAAATTGCATCTGTGCTGCTCAGTACAGAAAGACACTAGCTACATATGGTTATTTCCACTTAAAATGTAGCTAGTGCAACTGAGGAATTATGTCATCTAATTTAATATAGTCATGGGTAGCTATTGGACAGTACAGGTAATATATCGTATTTATACAGTATTTAAGAATGGGGCTGGACCAGCCGGGTGTGGTGGCGCATGCCTTTAATCCCAGCACTTGGGTGGCAGAGGCAGGTGGATCTCTGAGTTTGAGGCCAGCCTGGTCTACATAGAGAGTTCCAGGTGAGCTGGGGTTACAGGGAGACCCTGTCTCAAAAAGACCACACACATACACACACAAAAAAAGAATGGGGCTTGGGTCTGGCTCATCAGAGCACATGCTTGGTAAGTGTGAAGCCTGAGCTCAATCCCTGGGACCAGCATATAAAAAGGAATGAGAGAATATGAATGGAGACTCAAGCCGGGTCTTTCCTGTGTTGGAAGCCTCACTCACTCATTGACACAAATTCATTGAACTCTGTCATCCTTGAAATAAGGTGATGTTACCATCCACCTTATAGGATTGTTACAGTCATTATCTGAGTTGATATTTTTTATTTTTATTTATTATTTGAGTTGATTTTTTTAAGATTTAGAATGGCCTGGAACAGAGTGGTTGTTATAATGATAATAGTTTAGGGTTCCGTTTTTGAAAATAGTCTTGGCAGCTAGGAAGGCAAATTGTTCATAGTCTTTGCTACTCAGAAAGCTGAGACAAGATTACTGGGTCCTGACAGTCTGAAACCAGCCTGGGCAACAAAAGTTAGATCTGGTCTCAACAGAACAAAAAACCCTAGTTTCCTACCACCGATAATCCTAACACTTAGGAAGCTGAGGCAGAAAGATTGCTATCTGAGAGTGAAACTGTCAAATGTAACAACAGAACCTGTTTTCCCTATTAAATTATGACTGTTAAAACAAAACCAGCTAATCTGAGCACCTTAGGCTCATGCATAACCTTAAAATACAGGTCATCTAGGTAGATCAGTGGATAAAAGTATTTGCTGCCAAGTCTGAGGATCTGAGTTTGATTCCAAAGACCCACCTGGTGAAAGGAGAGAACTGATTCCCTCCAGCTGTCCTCTGATCTCCACATATCTGTCATAGCATACACATTCCCCTCCCTCCCACAAAATAAATAGATAAATAAAATAAAAAGCATAGCTTTGACTTAGATTTAGAGGCTTGTTCAATCTTTTGACAAGATGTGACATCATTTGCAAAGTTCATGAAACAAGTTACAAAACTGATCATTCAGTAAATGAATAAGTAAATCAAAAGAACTGGGGAGACAGTTCAATAGGTAAAGTGCTGGCTGTACATGTGTGAGGCCTTAGTTCAACCCCCAGAGTTTGGTGGTGCATTCTTGTAATCCCAGCACTGGGGAGACAGAGACAAGAGCACAGAGGCTCCCTGCCCAGGCAGCCCAGTCTAATCAGCAAGCTCCAGGTCAAGTGAAAAATGTCCCAAGAAGCAGAAGTGACTGACAGTACTGAAGAATGACAACGGAGGTTGACCCTGGCCTCCACATGCACACACACGCATGCACACTGTTCTAGTTTGCTTCTCCATTGCTGTGACAAAATACTCTGACCAATACCAACTTGGGGAGAAAAGGGTTTATTTGGCTTACATTTTCCTGGTCACATTCATCAGGGAGCCCAAGGTAGGAATTCAGGGCAGGAAGCTGGAAGCAGGAGCTGGAGCACAGGCCATGGAGGAATGTTGCTTATTGGCTTGCTCCCCTGGCCAGTGCTCAGCCTGCTTTCTTATACAATACAGGATCATCTGCCCAAGGGTGCCACCACCCACAGTAGGCTGGGTCCTCCCACATCACTCAACAATTTAGAAAATGCCCCACAGACATGGCCACAGGTAGTCCAGTGGAGGCAATTCCCCAGCTGAGGCTCCTTCAACCAAGGTGTGTCAAGTTGACATCTAAAGCTATCCAGCACACACACCAACACTGATATGTACCCCACATACGCAATGATCACAAAATCTCAATGTTTACAATTTTGTGTTGGGCTTCATTCATAGATATTCTCAGCCAGATGTTACATGTGGGCTACAGGTGTCTTATGTAGCATGACATTTTTATATTGTATATACAGCAATTTAAATTAATTCACTTTTGGTTTCAATTAAAATTAAATACAACTTATAATTCAGCTGCCTAGTTGCACCAACCACATTTGACTGCCGAAAGCCCCATGGGGCTAACAGCTGCTTTAGTAGATGAGCTCTTACATCTTTGCAGAAATCCTTGTCAGGTTGTTGGGTAGCACTGGTAATACAACATCCTGATTCCTACTGTGTGACCTTGACTTCTGAACAGTTCGGTGAATCAGTACAAAGTCCAGAGTGGACTGTAGCCTAGACTGTGGTAGGGGCTGAACAGTTTGAACTCAGAAATAGAAAGATATGATCTGGAAAACACTGTCTTTGTGCCCTAAATTCTTAGGGGAAGGACACAAGCAACAGGTTTTTAGGGTTTATTATGGGTGAGTTAAAGTAAAAGAGACCTTTGTTTTGACAGAACCCAGAGACACTGACTTACATAGGTCTTTGAAAGCAAGTTTGCTTTAGCACCCTACCTTCTGAAGCCCAGAAGGAAGAGAATTCACAGATAACCGCCTGGTAGTTCTCCTGGCCCGGAGGAGCCCGCCTACCTTGCTTATCTCTTCAGTCTCTGCTTCTACAACATCAAGCTGTATAGTTGCTTAAAGAAACAGAGGAGGAAGAGGAAAGCTTTGTGAGGCTCATCATCACACCATTGCAAACATGTTCTTCCTAATCAGAAATACTCTGGAAAGCTGGTGTTATATGCTGTCTTTGTAGCTTTGCTTCCTGGGGATTGAACCTTTTTACCTTTTTTATTTTTTTTTACTTTTTGTCTTTTTGATACAGTGTCTCCCTGTAGCCCCAGTTGGCCTGGAACTCACTATGTAGAACAGGCTGGCTTTGAACTCACAGAGAGCCCACCTGCTTCTGCCTTCTGAGTACTGGGACTAAAGGTGTGTGCCACCACCTCTGGCTTTGGGATTGAAACTTTAAAAAGCAGATTTGTTTTTTCTAGCATTATCCTTTCTCCCTCACACATTTACCTTTTGTTGTGGTCGTAACTGGTAGAAACCAGCCCTATCTTGGCATGGCAGTATCTCCCTTAGAGGCTTCACTTTGCCCTGCACTGCTTTCTTGTTAGTCATGAAGGAGTTAGAAAAATGGACCTCCAAAATGTGAAGATCTCTCCATGGAGTATTCACTGGGGATTCAAGCAAACTTTAAATTTCTTCTTCAAAGATGTGACCAAGACTCAGCCATTCACACTCCATCTGAATAGATTTCTCAAATCTAGGAACTTTCTTAGCAACTTTCCTCTATCAAATCAATCTCAACTCAGTAAATGTTATAAAGACAAATCTATACCATTGGGCCAATGAGATAGCTAAGTGGATAAAGGTGCTTGCCACAAAGCCTAATGACCTGAGTTCAATTCCCAGAACCCACATGGTGGAAGGAGAGAACCCACTGTGACAAGTTGTCCTCTGCCATACACAGCGGTGTACACACACACACACACACACACACACACACACACACTCTAAACATTTTTAAAGATTTTATTTTAATTTATTTTTAATTCTGAGCCTATGTGACTATGTGTAGGTATGTGTACACAAGTGCAGGTGCCTGCAAAGGCCAGAAGAGGACTCAGATCTTCTGAAGCTGGAGTTACATGGGATTGTGAATCCCATGGGTGCTGAGAACAGAACTCATGTCCTCAGCAAGAGTGGTATGCTGCACTGTTAAACTGCCAAGCCATTTCTTCAGCCCTATAATAAAGAAAATGTTTTAAGGGGCTGGAGAGATGGCTCAGCGGTTAAGAACACTGACTGTTCTTGCAGAAAACCCAGGTTTGAATTCCAGCACCCACATGGCAGCTAACAACTGTCCATAACTCCAGTTCCAGGGAATCCAACAGCCTCTTCTGTTATCTGCAGGCATTGCACGACATGGGTGCACTTACTTATAGGCAGGCAATATGCGCATACACATAAAAATAATAAATATTTTAAAAATGTTTTAATAACTTAATAAAATGATACCATAGAGACGTCTAGGTGAGGTGGCCAACTAGAAGCTGTCTTCATATAACTCAGAGAGGAAGAGTTAGAAAAAGCATGTTGTTGTGTTCCAAAGACAGAGGAAGAGTTTAGGAGATTCACGAAGCAGTGATACAAGAGCTGAAAAGTGTGGTGAAACTGGGTGGTGGCCCATCAAAAGGGACTAAGCCAAACCCAACACAGCTCTGGCCCCAGGTGTCCTGACTGGTGGAGGAGGAGCAGAATTATCCAGAAGCTAAGCTGGGTAGCACTGGTGGAAAGAGATGGGCAATCCTACCTCGAGACATTCCCACAGCCCTCACAAGCTCCAAACTGGTTGCAGGTTTTGTTGAGACTGATTCCCCATCAAGCAGGTGAGTAGCGGAAGAGAGTCCCACCTTGTCATTCCATGTGACCTTGGAGGGCAATGGCCAGGCACAGTTATTTAAAACTGAGCTACCAAACCCAGCGTGGTGGTGCACATCTTGGCAGAGGCAGGCAGATCTCTGTGAGTTCGAGGCCAGCCTGGTCAACAAAGTGAGTTCCAGGCCAGCTGGGGCTACAGGGAGACCCTGTCACAAAAAGAACAAAAACAAAAATGAACAACAACAACAACAAACCCTAAGCTACCCTGGGGGTCAAAACGGAAAATAACCACAAATCTAGGGACCTAAATTCAACCTGCCACAGCCACAGAGTGAGAGGCAGCCCTGGGAGGTTTGTGGAGAGCAGGAGGGCCTGGTGTTGACATACTGAAAAGAGCAGGTGGTAGTGGTGGAAGTGCTTGACGCAGGCTCCCCTGTGTGCAGGGGAAGGCCTCACTGTTAGTGGCAAGGAGCCCCTGAGAGGAGCTCTGGAGTGTGACAGCCCCAGCCTACGGCCAGCAGGTGCATCAGCCTCCAGACAGCACATCTGCTGTACTCAGCTACACTGCATTTAAGGATCATTTAAGGATCTTCCTCTCCCCACTCCTCTCTCTCTCTCTCTCTCTCTCTCTCTCTATCTCTCACACACACACACCCTCAAAGCTCATGCACTGAATGCTTGTGTTTGTAGTTAAGGCCTCTGGGAGGTGAACAGTTTAAAATAAAGAAACAAAAATATCCAAGAATTAGCCTAATTGAAAGACTTCTGAAAGAATTGAAGAACTCACTAGAAAAAAGGGAAAAAAAAAATCCAAACAAACTCTACAACCTGTGGCTAAATGTGTACCAGGCCATAGAGGAGAACCCACTACTCTTATCTTGTTAAATGGGCATGGAATTAAACCTGTGCCTAATGATTTACTATGATACCCACTGTATTAGTTACTTTTCTGTTGCTGTGATAGAAACACTGACCAAAGCAACTTATGAAAGGGAGAGTTTATTTGAGCTTATGGTTCCAGGGGAATTACAGTTCATCTTGGTGGGGAGGCATGGCAGCAGAGGTGGCTGGAGGAGGAGTGGAAGCTAAGCTCTACGTCTTCAACTGGGCACAGAGAAACTCCAGATCTGGCAAGGCTTAAGGACTCTCTAAGCCCGCCTTCAGTGAAGTGTTTCCTCCAGGATAGCCACACCTACTAAGACCTCCCAAAACAGTGCCACCAACTGGGGACAAAATGTCCAAATACTTGGGAGCCTATTGGGGACATTTTCATTCAAACCACCACACCCATAGATTAGTATATCTCTCAGCTCTCACCTGAGAAGCTTCTTGAAGCAGATGGAGATTAACACAGATACCCACAACTGGTCAATGTGCAGAAAATAAGAGACTAAGGAGTCCTTGACCTTAAATGAGACAGCTATATCACACCCTCTCTTCCCAAGGTTCAGGGATCATTGCAGAAGAAAGAATGGAAAGATTGTAAGAGGCAGAGATGATAGATGAACACAAGGAAATGTTTTCAGGACATTTCACAGGGCAGTTGCACATATGAACCCACAGTGCTTGTGACAGCACACACAAGACCTGCACAAGCCTAAATCAAACAAAAGCCCAGCATGGAGGCAGAGGCAAGAAGCCCCAGCCTAGTTGAGGAACTATTGGCAATTGATGACTGCTTAGAGAGAGAGAGTCAGCTTTCTTTAAGCATGTGATGCCAGGTAGGTTGACCAGGCTCCAGGAGATGGACTCAAATCCAAGAGTATTTATGGAACCCAGATTAGACTCAATAGACCTTAAAAAAATAATAGAGCACATGAGGGAAATAGGGAGGTGGAGAGGGGAATCTGCCAAGAAGTGGGGGAAGAGAGCTGAATATGATCAAAATACATTGTATGTAACTGTTAAAGAATCCACAAAAGGGCTGAAGAGATGGCTTACCAGTTAAGAGCATTGGGTCTTCTGCAAGGATTCAGCTCCCAGCACACACATCATGGCTAACAACCATCTGTAACACCAATTCCAGGAGATTTAGTGCCCTCTTCTGGCCTCTGCAGGCATTGCATGCATGTGACATATATATGCAGGCAAAAGTCTCATACACATAAAATAATATTAAGAAATAAAAGAGTTAATAAAAATACTATTTAGAAAAAATACCAAATATCTACTCAGGAGGTTCAGGCAGGAAGATTATAAGTTCAAGATGAGCTTAGGCTATATAGTAAGCCCTGTCTACCCCCTCCCCCACCGCCCCAACAAACAAAAACACAAGTAACAAATTATCCAGTAAAAGACTGTAAATGGAAAGGAAAAAAGAAAAAAAAGAAAAAAGAAAAGACCAACTTCCCATGTTCATGAATTGGCAGAAATTAATACTGTGAAAATGACTACACTATCAAAAATAGTCTACAATTCAACATAATACCTCATCAAGATTCCAATGGCATTCTTCTCAGAAAAGATTAACAACCCTAAAATTCATATGAAAACACAAAGAGCCCTAAATGCAGTCCTAGGCCGAAAGGGCAAGTGAGAGGCATCATCATCACAGTATCTTATCCTAAACTAGACTGCAGAGTCACACTAACAAAAACAGCATCATAGTGACACAAAAGCAAACTCAGACCAACGCCGGACCAGAAACAAACCATACAACTATAGCTACCCAATACTTAGCAAAGGTGTCAAAACATCCATTGGGAAAAAGCCAGCCTCTTGGTGCTATGAAACATGAAAAACAATGAAACCAGATCCACAGCTTTCACCCTGAACAAAAATCAATTCAAAAGGGATCAACAGACCTTAATACAAGACCTCAAACTCTGAAACTGCTAAAGGAACATGTAGGCAAAAGACTTCATGGTGTAGGCACAGACCAGGACTTTCTGAAAAGGACTCTGATAGTACAGGAAATAACCCCAAGAACTGACACATGGGATTGCATAATTAAAAACCTTATACATGGCTGCAGTGGAGCAGAAACTTGCTTAGTTGGAAGGACAAAAACAACAGAAATAATACCAGGAAATACTATCTTTGTCACCCCTAAATAAAGAACATAAAAGAAGGACAGGATCTTCTGACTAAGCAGGTAGTTAACACAACATTTCAGTCACTGCATTTTAAAGTCAGGATTGGAGCACCATGGACTGTTTGGCTGAGCACTGCTTGCCAATGAGATAACCCGGCTAATGGGCAAGAAGCCGTATCAACTCAGAGGCGCAGGACTTTGCCACCCAAATCTGGG